ACATTCCTGGTGACACAGAAATGGTGATGATATCTGTACTGATTATTTAGTCAGATGTATTTAATAATGATAGTATTTATACAGATTATTCAGTCAGAAGTATTGGACTGTGACAATATTTATACTGATTATTCAGTCAGATGTATTGGACTATGACAATATTAGTACTGATTATTCAGTCAGATGTATTGGACTGTGACAATATTTGTACTGATTATTCAGTCAGATGTATTGGACTGTGACAATATTTGTACTGATTATTCAGTCAGCTGTTGGACTATGACAGTATTTTTATGTATTGGATGGTGACAATATTTGTACTGATTATTCAGTCATGTATTGGACAGTGACAGTATTTGTACTAATTATTCAGTCAGATGCATTGGACTGAGACAATATTTATACTGATTATTCAGTCATGTATTGGACAGTGACAGTATTTGTACTGATTATTCAGTCAGATGTTGGACTATGACAGTATTTATACTGATAATTCAGTCAGATGCATTGGACTGTGACAATATTTATACTGATTATTCAGTCAGATGCATTGGACTATGACAATATTTATACATATTAATCAGTCAGATGTATTGGACTATAACAATAATTGTACTAATTATTCAGTCAGATCTTGGACTATGACAGTATTTTTATGTATTGGACAGTGACAATATTTGTACTGATTATTCAGTCATGTATTGGACGGTGACAGTATGTGTACTGATTATTCAGTCAGCTGTAAAATTTATGCTGATTATTTAGTCAGATGTATTGGATGGTGAGAGTATTTGAGCTGATTATTCAGTCAGATATATTGAACATCGACAGTATTTGTACTCATTTTTTTTAGTTAGATTTGTTAGACAGGGATGGTATTTTTGCTGATGATTCAGTTGGATCTCTTTGACTGTAATGGCATTTATACTGATTTTTCAGTTAGACTTGTAGGGCAGGTTTTACATCCAGGTAGTTTTTCAGAGGTGATCTCTCATTGGCTGTGGAGAAAGTTTTTTCTTTATTCCTCAAGGAATTATAAAGTTTAGGACTTCATTTAAATACTAATACTGACCTTACATGGTGTTTATGTTAGGTTTTTAAAATATTAAAGTTTTTTTTAAAAATCAACACAGTTATGTAGTTTATGCAAGTATGTTGACTTCAATTTTGTTTCAAAATGTGGTGACTGAAGGAAATACAAGTAATTCACCATTATTGAATGAGTTGGTCCTTGTAAGGTAAACAGTAAATGATAGTTGATCTTATCATGAAAAAAACCACCTATTGAGAATATTCCATGTAGCATAACACAAAAAAGTTAAAATTCGGAAATTGATGAATATTTCACATGATTATTTTTGATAAATTATTTATGTATACACTTTATGCATTATGGTCACATATATTTAGCTGCTTTGGCTTAGAATGGATAATTATTATGACTTTTAAAAGATAGCACAGAATAGTTTTATTCTTTGGCAATGTGAATAAGAGCATTTATCTGCCTTTGAACAGAGGTTTATTACAGAATTTAATATAGAATCAGAAATATGTGTAAAGATAACATTTCAGCCATTTTGTTGAGATTATATTTCATGGGCTCAGATTGTACTGTAAGATCCAATCTACAATACTGTTTGCATTGTTGATTTAATTTCATTGATATACTACCCACAAAGAAAACAAAATTAAATCATTCATTTACCATATAAACTTCCTTATAAATTATATACAGCTGTATAAACCCAGATCTATCATCATGTAATGCACTGGCAGGCTGTGCAGTTTGTTAGAAGTACTCAATAGAACAAATAAAAAACCCTGATCTGCCAGCACATTATGTAATGGCAGATCAAAGTCTGTGTTATTTGCAGTTTGATTCGACTTTTGGGTATTGATATTATATTTCTGGTTTTATGTTCTCCTGTTGGATGCTTATACTGAATGCTTGAAAAGACCTATTATTGATCATTATTACTTGAAACTACAGCATGCAAAATTGGAATTCAAGAAAAGAAGAAACACATCAAGTTGGTCTCAGATTTGCCTCCCACGCATGTTTTTTTTTTCTTAAACAGTAGTGGTACATCATTTATATTCTTGTTGCACCATATCTTGGACCAATACAATTATTACATAGGGCAAAACATGTCATTTTCTAACACCATTGGAACTGTTATTAATTTATTAGCAATATATGATCTTAGTAATGATAAAACCTGACAGTTGAATACTAGTATTGGAATCCACCAATGATTTTTTTTGTATTGTAAATATCTCAAATGTAGAGATAATATAAGAATTGGTTTTAAGAACAGAGAGATTAATGTACAGATTTTTTTTCAGGTAGCTTTTAAGTATGATAATTGGACAGTTCTCTCAGTGTACATATAAGAATATTTCTGTATGTGATCCAGATCCATAGAAGAGTGAATAGTAAATACTCATTTGCATTATTTTTCCACAACTTATTGTTAAAATGTTGAATTAAAAGAACTAGTCATTTCTTTCAATTTTTTTTCGTTTTTTTTATTTTCCTATTCCACCTTTGTTTTTGTCTCACCAAAGGCAAGACATAGTATTCACAATATTGGTCTGTCCAGTAAAAACATTTTGGCAACAATTTTGTTTTCCCACATGATGAAGTTTGTTGCAGGTATAGAAATGGGTATTGTTCATCTATTCAACACACTTTCATTTCTGGAGCAAAACAATTCATGATGTCTGTGAGAAATATGATAAAAATACTATACTAGTCATTTTACAAGTCATTTCTTTTGTTGATTCTCTTTATATTTAGTTTTCTTTTTTTATCCATGTATCCATTTTTGGAAGATGACATTTTATTTTCATGGTCAAAGTCATTGAAAGATACTCTTTGAACTTTGGTACACTCATTAAATTTCTGGCCTAGATTGCCTTTGCTATTCACAATTCTTCAGTTTAATATTTTTTAACGTCTTTGTCTATTTGGCTGTCCAGTGGTCCATTAATCATACATGTACTTCAGTTTCTAAGTAAAAATTACAAAACCATTTTAAGACAATCCTATGAAATTCTGCTTTTATATTAGACTCATGATTTAAATGCTTCTTTTGCTATTCACTATTCTTCATTTTTAATATTTGTAATATTTTGTCTTTAAACATCCATCCACCATTTACAATTTCCTTGTAGATATTAAAACTTTTGGTGCCTAACAATTCCTGGTATATGTTATAAGTACATGTATAATACATGTATATCAAATCTCATGCAAATCATTCTATCATCTTGTTTAAAAGCGCATATGTGTTTGCATGAGAAATCATCATCAGAGTTCAGTTTGTCCACAAATTAATATTTTTTTGGTTCTGGTATAATGGTAAATTTAATTTCAGATCTTTATTGTGTTCACAAACTATATAAATAACTTGACATAGTTCACACAGTAACTTGAAATGTACTTGAATTTCGATTCATCCTTGAAAAGTACTTGAAAATAAGCCTCAGTCTTTGAAAAACAATAAAATTAATCGACAAACGAAGGTACAAAAGTTTTTTTCATACCATTAAATAATGTAATTGAAGTAAAACTGTTTGCTATTGGGCAGTTTACAACACTGACCAATCGAATATTTATAATTGATCATGGACCTGATTATAGAGTGCATTAAAAAGTGCACAAGTCTTTCCCAATGGTCATTCTTTTTCATCAATTTATTTTCTTTGTACTTTAAATCATGGTGAATCAGTTGTTCAAATCTGAAAACAAAAGATAGTGAAAAATATATACAAAAATAGTCATAAGTTGTTCTTATTGCATGTCCAAGTTTCTGATTTTCGACATGATCTAAAATTCAAAAGTTTGATGGATGTCCATTATTGACTTTTTTAGCCTCTTGCCTAAACTTTGGGCTTAAATTATTGTCATATACCTGTTAACAGAAAGGATGCTTTCTGCACAATGTACTTAATCTACGTGTAAATTTATCTGTATAATTTAGATGAGCATGAATGCATCATATCATGCTACAAAGTTTTTCAGAAATCGATTTTTGTCCACTGCGGACAACTTCAGGTTTGCATAAATTATGTAAATTGTTATAAACCAGGTCGGCCAATGTGTTTTCTTGAAGTGTGTTGGAGAGAGTAGGTGGGCTTCGGCAATCTCAGTAAACTCTGATTGCTACCAAATATTTGGGAGGCTGCATTCACACCTGCCAAATGATAAACAAGTGTACATGGCATTGAGAATACTGAAGATTTATCTGGGTATTTTTTGTGAGAGCCTAACCTTTTCACTTAGACCAAAATGCCTGGGAAGTGCTTGTTCTTCCCCAATTGGTGTCAAAAACAAGAATAAAAGACCTGGTAATTAATTTCCCATATACTTGAAAGTGAAATATTGGTGGATTATACCTCCATAATGACACATTCTACAATTTGCTTTTACCAAATAATAGGGTTATCAACTCTGAATCTCAATCAAAATTTCCATCCTGTTGATTTTTGTTTATAAGTGTTGTGCACTTTTTTGTCTCATCCGATTTATTGGGTATTATCAATCACTGCAGTGTCTTAGATTGACAATATGCCAGGCCATATTTACATGAAACTGAAAAATTTCCCATAAATTTTGAGTAAGCAGCTGCTTCTGATTTAAATTAATGTCAATTAGTGGCCCGTAATTTTTGTTTACTGGCTCATCACTATTAGTGCTCAGTCTCTCTATAATAAAGTCTCAAGCCTATTGCACAAATATTTAGAATCCCCTTGTCAGGAAATTATATATTTGGACTATTAACGGTTTAACAACTTTTCAGTCATATCGATATGATATCTGCGATGTGGTAGTTTATAGTGATGTGTAGCACTGGGGAATCATACCACATACATGTAGCATAATGTCCCACCCAGTAACATTATCCTGACACCAGGCCGACCAGTCCTATCACTAATCTCTTAATGTTGGGCGCCTAACAAGGCAGCTGTTATTACCATTTTATAAGTCTTTGTTATGACTCAGGCTGGGTTCGAACCCGCAACCTCCCACATCTGAGGCGGATGTCTTAACCACTAGGCCACCTGAGCAATCTAGCGATGGAGGTGGCTAAAACGTTGAAAGTGTGTGTGCTCATATATAACTTTTCTAAAATTAAATGTAATGTTAAATGTTTTGATTTTTTTTTGTTGTTGTTGGTGGTGGTTTTGGCAGAATGAATTTGAGTACAAGCTTATCTTTATCCCTTTGTAGCATACCATGCCATACTAGTTGCGGAATGGCGTGCGGATGCATTGAAGGTGACTGACGTCAAGCCCTTTTGCTATAAATGGCACATGGGAGATGCACAGTTTGATTTTTCATTATTTTTCCAATCTCTTGAATAAGTTATGGGAACTTTGTCCCAATTAACAGCCGCTTTTTTGTTTGTCCACGTTGAACTGATTAATACGTCCTGTAAACACAAGTGCTGATTTTCCTGATACAAACCACTGCCAGTAAGCTTCGAATATTAGAAATTCTTGGAAATAAGTTTACAAATTCTGACAAATTGAATCGAAGTCTATGTCATTTATGGCATATAATGAGCCGACATTTTTTTCCCCAAAAATGATTTGGAGTATTCTCTTACGGGCCTGTACACACGCCCCATCTTCTTCAAGATGTCATTGTACATTGTCATAAATGTGTTTATACATAAAAATAATTTTGCCTGAGAGAAGTTTGGCTTTCATGGCATTCGTCATGCTCTGTTCTATGTTACTTCCAATCGTTAATCGAGCTTAGTGCCCAAACCGATCGCTAACTTGTGAGAAAACTTTCTGCAAGTTGCTTCTTTAGCATCACAATGGATCATAAATGGCTTCGAGATCACCAGAAACTCATTGGCTCTATAGTTTATCACATTTTGTTGTTTTGCAGACCCCCCTCCCCGATACATAGAAACGTCACAAGATAAGACTTCTATCAACGCTCAGAACACTGTACTTCACAGTTTCTGATAACATGATCCATATATTGATTGCTATAAACAAAGACAACAAGTTTTTTTGTGCTTCGTTACTTCTTGGATGATTGGATTATTGTGAAGCTCACTAAAAACATTGACCACGTCATCATTTTTTTTTATTCTGCAGTCAACAGTTTCTTCACATTTACGCTTCACGTCTCTGAATTTCTTCTTGATTATTTGTTGAGTAGATTTTGGAGCCGTGGCACTATTGTATTCCATACGTTCTTTGAGAACGTTTTTGACTTTCTCAAGATTTGCCATTTCATCTGCTCTCTGAAGAATTTTTGTGTCTGTCCTTATATATGACTCCGGTTTCTTGGAATTTCCGAGTTGTTTAAAGATTATTGGTGGTATGCCGCAGTATTCACACAATCGCATTACCCCTTTTCTAGTAGATTGGAATCTGGCAATCCAGTAATTGTTCTTACACGTTTTTTGAGTAATTTTCTGTAATCATTTTAGTATAATGTCCATGAAGTATGTAACCACTCGATGGCTAAGGCTATAATTATTGGTTACTGCATTGGTATGGGAAAATTTTAACGAGTTTTTCGGATGTAAATATTGCACGACCTTGAGAACGAGTTCATATTTTCCCATACAAATGCAGTGACCTTTTTATTATATGCTCATTTTTTAAAAAATTATACCTTAGGCTTAATTATATAAACAAAACAAAATACACTGCAATAAACAAAATAGCAAGGTATGCCGTATTCCAAACTAAATACACAAGCGCATATTCATCATTATACAGCAAGAATATTATTAATGAGAACATAACTCCGCCCAAAAAATTGAATTTAGTAGCGTGCTAGATATAATTTTCGAAAGGAAATAATGTCAACAGTTTCACAGTTTATAGTGATGTCTAGCGCTGGGACATCATGCCATAGACATATAGCATGATGTCCCACCCATTCACATAATCCTGACACAAGGTCGACCAGTCCTAACACTAACCTTTTAATGCTGATCGTCAAGTGAGGCAGCTGTTAGTACCCTTTTTTTTTCTCAAGTCTTTGGTATGACTCAGCCGAACCCACAACCTCCCGCATTCGAGGCGGACGCTCTAACCACTAGTCCACCGGAGCGGTCGATAGTTGAATATCTTACTGGCAAGTCTTTAAACGGTTCAAATGTCGTGTTCAAAGATACGTTTGCTAAGTTGTTCACGCTATTGTCCGAAGGGTAAGATACCAGCACAGTGAGCCAACATTGGCCATGCAGACAAAAAACCGCCAATTTTTGCACAGTAAATAAAGGTAGCTTCAAAAGATGGTGATAAACATTGTATGCCTTTCCGTTGGGGGATGATTCATGTAAAGCGTTCCAGTGCGTACCATACATAGCGTAACTGAATTATTCTGCTTTCGTCTCCACAGATTAAAAGTGACACTGAATTGAATAAGCAATCACCGTTACCTCTTACGATAATAGGGTCACCACTAACTTCATGAAAGTATTTCATCATCATTTCCTTTTCAATACCATCCGATGTGAAGGGCGTTTTCCCCTCCCCCCTCAAGTATATATTGCATACTATTTGAACTGAGTCTTAAAGAGGTACATGCGCTAGACTGTCCGTAATCAAAAGATCAATTTTTCAGGGAGTGGGCACAAGTGAAATACAAAGAAGAAAAACACTTAAGTAGTTAGACTCACACGATCAATAAGTATTGGACTGTGGTATTCAATAATACAAAAAAATAATACACATTACACGCGTACGCGTACACAATAGCTTTAGATGTGCGATGTTCGGAATAAATTTATGTGTTTCACTTTTGAGCTTGACCTTAATCCGATTATAATTACGTAACAGATTGAGTTGTGGACAATTGATTTAATTAATTAATGCTCCAAGTCTGGTGTATTTATCAATGGAATCTTCAATGTGATGAAAGATAACTTGTTGCTTTGTTCTAACTGAATTAATTTTTTCAGTTACTCAAGGAAACTGAGTAATTATGTGCATTTCAACAAACTGGTCTTGACCATCGACGATTTTTTTACGGTATGACATTTTGGAAACTGTTAAAAACGATTAAATTTGGGTTATAATTAGTCTTCAATGAGATTGGTATAATTTACATTTTTTTCTTTGTGTATTAGATATACACATAAGTAGGAGGTACACCAGATTGACAAAAACAGTATTTTATATGTTAGACTTAAGGAATGTTTGTGAATCAAAAGAGCTAAGATATGCTAAATAAGTAAGGATTTAATTTTTAAAGGAAGACTGATCCATCTTAAATATAATAAATGCAAAATTATAAACTAATATAATAAACATTTATAACCGAGCATATATGAAAGATATGGAAAAAACAGCCAACTTTAAAATAATTAAAATGGGTAAAAATTTAAGTAATAATTTGATAGATTATTTAGAAGACAAGAGAAACATAAAAACGAATATATATTTATGCACAGAAATAACAATGGGGAGCAGGCTTGACAGATTTTATCTCACCGATACCGTTAAAAAATATTTAAAAAACTAATACAACTGAATAAAAAAGAATATCACAAAATAATATATTTGCAGTTATCACTAACTCATACAGAAAAGTAATACTATACTAATAAAAGCAAACATGCCCACAAAGAAAAAGAATCAATGTTAAAAGATCTGTTGGACAAGGGTGCCCTTTGTCTGTCATTAGTAGTAAAGGGGGATAATATACACACGTAGACTATGTTAAATTGGGGGGGGGGAGTTGTACAATACGGACAAAAATTATACCGACAATGGGAATTAACATTACAGACAGGGTCTTTATAATATATGGACAAGGAAATTTTGACAAGGTGGGATATTATACGGACAAGGGAAAATTTAACATAGGAATAGGGTGGGACGCTCTATGGACAAGGAAAATTTAATATGATGGAACTATAAGGGTACTATACGGAAATACACACACATACACATACTCGCACGCAGACAAGCATTTACAAAAATACACACGTACGCGCACGCACACAAACTAATATGCACACACATACACACAAACACGTACAAACGTACGTGCACACACGTACGCGCACGCATACAAACAAAAATGCACAAACATTTTTTGTTAAGGGATAATTATTTTTGTTAATGATAAAACAAACACATAGAGACAAACGCATGCAACGTACGCGAGTGCTCGCACACTCACACGCACACATAAACGTACGTGTAGACACACAAACCCAGACGAAAAGTATACATATAAACATACGCACTCTAACATACACACAAACACACACATACACAAACCACAACATTTAGAAAGTTCATTTTTCTTTTTTGTCTTTCCATTCTCTCCTTTTCTGAAGTAGGTCACTGTCACAGGTTTTTCCTCTTCTTCCTCAGTTTGTTCTCATCTTCTTTTCTTCTCTTTCTGCACATGTCTGGGTTCTTCATTTTCGGAGGGTACCTCTTGTTCGTGTTTGGAACCCCTCTCTACTTTCTGTTCCTGTGTGTTTCTTAAGGCATTCTGAAGACCAATGTTCGTTCTCTTGACGGTGATAGCTGGTATCTTGACTTTTGTCTCTTTTGACACTTGGTTTACTTTTTTGATGTGGACATTCAGAAAACTAATGGTCTTTCTTCTGACAGATATAGCAAGTATTTTGACCTTTATTTTGAAAGAAAGGAGAATTGTTCGTCGGATTCTCTGATGAAAACCTTCGTATGACACCTCGTAAAGCTCTGATCAGAAGTTTGATCTGTGTTGGCTCTTCCATCTTTATTAGTATTTTGAGTGAAATGAATACTTTAAGGAACACATTGACCCTTTATATAGGTAAGACACTGACATTATATTTTTTAGATATAAAGTGGATAATGACATTTAAAATCTAGTCGTTTGACTTCTTGCACTCAAGATGAAACAATCGCATCATTTTGTGGAGAAAGGAGAATAAGTAAAAAGGCAGAAACGTGACCCATAGCCTCGCACAGTATCTAAAATATTAGTCCAAATTCATTCCAGAGATTTAAAAGATGACACGAGTGAGACAGAATCTAGACCTAGAAATTCTTCGTGAAAGCAAAGTCTTCTAGTAAGCCCTGAAAACT